CACACTTTGCTCACAAAAATCCCTCGCTCTTTCACTCACTCGCACTTTGCTTGCAAAAGCCCCTCGCTCTCACTCTTTGCTTGCAAAAGCCCCTCACTCTCTCACTCACACTTTACTCGCAAAGTGCTCGCTTTTGTTAGCAAAGCGGTGAGGAGAGCATGAGCGAGCGAGTGGCTCGCTCATGCTCTCCTCACCGCCTCGCTAACAAAAGCCTCTCTCTTTTTCCATTTTTTTTCTCTCCCTCTCCTGCCAAAACCTGCTCCTTTTATAGTTTCTCCTCTCTCCACCCTCCTCCTCCTTTTCTATTCTGGGTGCGCCGGAAGCTCCAATCAGCATGTAGCTGTGTGCGCAGATCCTGGGACTTCTGCCAAGCCCTTCAGCTCCAGCTGATCTCCTCCAGGCCTGTGCGGCGCCACTTTAGCTTGTTCCCTCCCCTGCTACAAATGGCTAGGGGTTGCTTATCACATTCCAGGTGCTAAAGTACCATCGGTGATACGCGTACCACCGATTGAAAAGCCCTGTTCTAATTAACCTAACCAAAATATGTAAGAATTAACACATTTTATCTCGGAGGTCGATAATTTTCCAAAATTTGTAGACCAATGTAATTTGAGGACTTTTTTCCCATTGGGATCAGTTCTTTTGAATCTCTTCGTATTTATCATTTTGAGTTAGAAGAATTTATTTTTAATCTATCTATATTGGCCTACATGGAATATTGCTTCTCATTTCAATTATAGAATATACATCCAAAAACAATTCATTATAACTTGTTTTTTTGCAGGGACCCCAGCAATTTTCAGTTTTCACGAATGTTTTCATAAATATATTCCAACACTCTTCAACCATTTGTCCAATTTTTTTAAGACAGCATCTCCTTTCGTTGGAATTTTAAGACCTAACAAACTTTTAATTGACTTTAACACAAGCCTCTAGTTCTACCCTATTCCCAATCATCCTGCTCCTTAATCATGCAAACTCGTGCTTCTGATTTTACCGAGGGAGGTATGCTAATACAGTCAGCTGTGGTTTCTGGAAATAATCTTCCTTGTACATTTATTTTTTCTTGTCCATCATCTATCAAATAGATCTGTGACATTTTTAACAAGGAGTTTTGAGCTATCTAAAGATGTATTTCAGACATATCATCTACTGTATTGCATGTAACATCGAGAAGATGTTTGAATTGATCACAAGAATATGAAACATCTAAAGAAATTTATTCTACATCAGTATAGGACACATTTTTTTGTATTTAATTTTTAGATTTCTTATATCCCAGGCACACATAACCAGCAGGCTGATTCATTATCATATAATCCAAAACCACCTGTGCTTTACACCCCTTCTTGGGCTTAACAATCTGCGCCCTTAAATTTTAGAGGACTGTTTCCCCACCTCCACTCAGAGATAATCTTGGGACCAAGATGAACTTTTTGCTTTAATGAACTAGCAATGCCTGCAATTAATTGGATGCTTCTATAATCCTTTATTTTAACTTTTGGATAAATTTGATCATCCCACGGTTTGATGAGCTGATAAGACTAGTGCCATCTTGGAGAAATATCAATACAAATTAGACACCACCAGTCTAAACACACAGAATATATATGTTGTGGAAGACAAATTGGATAACACACAGACACACACAATATACCTGTTATATAATTTCTTATAAATGCTTTATGCATTCATCCAGTCATAATTCATCCTTTGACTACCTATGGATGCACTCCCCTACTCCTCACATACCCTTCTAACCCATGCTGGTCCTTGAAGTTACCCACCTCCTTCAGAAGCTTCAGGCAACTCAGTGCCTTCCTCAGGAACAGTTACTATACCAAGGCTTCCTACAAGTGTCTTTCTGATTGCTATAACCAGGAATCCTTTCCTGAATTCCATGAGAAATGGTGTTCTACTTTCTACCAAGCATATCCTATCTCTGAAGTCATATAAACTAGATCAGTGATGGCGAACCTTTTAGAGACCAAGTGCCCAAATTGCAACCCAAAACCACTTATGTATCATTGGGTGCTGGGTGGGCATGGCCCATTGGGTGGGTGTGGCCCATTGGGTGGGCGTGGCTGCGGTGGTAATGGCAGACTGGGATTAAAAAGTTCAATCAATCAATTCCAACTTTGTGAGATCTTTTTTTTTCCTGCGAAAGTTGAAATTGATTGATTGAACCTTCTTTTTTTGTTGCACATGGTGGCAGAGGCCTAAAGCAAAAAGGTTTTATAAAATCCAGCTGAAGGCCTAGGACTAGGGCGACGGTGCGTGTGCCCACAGAGAGGGCTCTGAGTGCCGTCTCTGGCACCCATGTCATAGGTTCGCCACCACGGAACTAGATACTAAATTTATTGACTTTTTGGCACAAGTCAGTCTGGTGGTCTTTTATTTGCATCTTCTTGGTATGCTGAAGATACATCAGTTTTCCCATAATCCTCACTGCTTCAGGAATAACTTTCCTGGGCTTAGAACACGCTGACTATCCTTTCTATTTTGGCAGATAGGAAAAACTTTGAAATGGAGCAGATTTTTAGTTCTCAATGCTGGAGAGGCTGGATGGATTATTTAAAATATGTTTGACTCTAAAATTTTTCTTGATAGGAATGTGGATATGTCAACAAGTAGCTGCTCTTAGTACATAGAAACCTGATTGCAGAAAAAGACCTAATGGTCCATCAAGTCTGCCTTTTTAGTTTTCTGTTTTCTTTTTAATTAATTAATTTATTATTTGTTAATTACCAAGGTTTACCCTAAACTACAGGTAGTCCTTGACTTAAAGCCATTTATTTAGTGACCATTCGAAGTTATAAAGGCACTGAAAAAAATGACATGACCATTTTTCATGCGTATGACTGTTGCAACATCCCCGTGGTCATGTGATCAAAATTTGGATGCTTGGCAACTGGCATGTATTTATGATGGTTGCAGTATCCCGAAGTCATGTGATCATCTTTTGTGACCTTCTGACAAGCCAGATTCACTTAACAACCATGTTACTAACAACTGAAGTGATTCACTTATTTATTTATTTATTTATTATTTCAATTTATATCCCGCCCTTCTCCCGAAGGACTCAGGGCGGCTCACAACATTATTAAAACAAAGAAAGACCCACACACCCCACCGAATAAAACCAAATTAAAACCAAAATTTTTATGTTGTGATAATTAAAATTTCTAAAAAACCCAGTTTAAAAATCCTCCCTAGGCCAGGC